TATTGTAGTACTTTACAGGGTTGAGTGTGATTATACTTAGCTTCGTGCTAACGGGTGCTTTCCTATTTGTCTATTTGTTGTTTGTTAAACCCCTTTCAGGTGGGCCCGGCGTTGAGAAGTGAACGAGTTAGACTAGTCTAGTAGTTATAGAAGTCTAAACTCTTAATGTTTTGATCATGATGTTATTTATCGGAATTTAGACTTATGTTGTTGATGACGTTTGATGATGTAGAGTACTGTGTGTGTTTACCCCCCTTATGCTTTATTTAAGTTTGGTGGATTGTTAGTTATTTATTTATTTTTTAGTTCTATCCTTAGCCTGTGCAATCACCATGGAATGGTGATTGTGGCGGTGACACTCCCACTAACTTTCTTAATAAGTTATTTATCCGCTGCTTAGTTATGTTAATTATGAATTAGAATTGTAATTAAGATTTAGAAAAAGTGGGGTGTTACATCGTACCTTTAGTGTGCACACCCCCTAACCAGGATTCCAAGCCTGGTGGGCAGTCTCCAACTTCGTAACGTGGGAATACGCCGCGTTACATATACTTGGACCGCAATGTCCATTTCTTTCTTCCCGAGAGACGTAGTCCAAACGGATCCTCCAAAACCTCACATATATAGATAGGTAATATATATCTCTCATGCACCAAACTTAAGCATGTCACTTCTCAACAAATTCTCAATGCATCAAATAATGATATACCACATGCTTATGAATTTTGAAAGTAATACTTAGGCTCACGTTGGCCACTTATGCACCTTTTAAAACATGATATACATGATATACCAGTTGCCAGAGATGGTAGCTAACCCGTTGAGCTTGGAATCTCAATAGGGGGTGTATACACTTAAAGTTGCTAGCTCTGCTTCCATTAGGCTGCAGTCCTTGTCATTGCGATGACACTATAGCATGTGATCTGGGTCGTTGCGATGACTACGTGATACATGATTGATGATTTGGAGCCCTCCACACTGATCCACTATGAATCGGGCCGTGGTGTTGACCCCACGGTATATGACTTGGTGTGATTGTGTCCTATGTGGACTTGGAACTCGTTATGGTGTGAATCTTGCCTCTCATTGATTAAGAACATGTCTTTGTGAATCCTTCTTTGTGTGTCGTATGTTGCACCTTGTTGTTGAGCTTGTTGCTTGTGGTTCTATTGTCTTGTTGAGTATGTTGGTCTTTGACCTTTGTTGTGAGTGATTGATGAGTCTATTGATGTTTCCTCTCTCTCGGCTTTAAAATGATATATACTGTATTCCCAGTTTCAAATGGTTTTGATTATATCTATGTATATTATGATACTTAACGCGTGTTGGTGGGTTACCAGCATTAATAGCTAACCGGGTGTTATCCCCTTATCTTTTACAGGTTGAGTAGCTTTGGAGAGCGCGCTAGTGGCATGTAGATAGAATAGATCTCTTCCTTTAAATAGTTGTTGAGGCCTGTGAGCCCAAGTAGTTGATTTGTTAGACTACTTTAGTTGTAGTATCTGTCTGTGCACCTATGTTTGATATAGGTGTGGCATAGAACCTCCGTGTTTAAACGTTGCTTCCATTGCTTAATGATTAATGTTTAGCTTTATGTCTCTTGTTTAAGCTTTTAAAATTTTAAGGTGGATTCGCGTTCAAATGTTCACAATTTACCTTTTAAAAATTCACAATTTTTATACTATGAACACACAATGTTAACATATATGTAATTGATTACCTTGTTTTGTATTCACAAGTTCCTTTCAAATATTATAGTCACACAATATTAACAAATTAGGATTTGATAACCATGACAGTTGTTATGCTCTTTAACTTTCGATTGAAAGGGTCTTGTTTAACATCAAGACTCCATAGTCTAATGGATGAGGTGTTGGTCGACGGAACCAGAGATCCGGGGTACTATCCTCAGTGGAGTTGTATTGCCTAAAAACAATATATGTTATATAGGCACATGATTTCATAATTCAAGACATAAATTACGTAAGATATTGAACAACCGTCAAAACTACGTCATTTAGGACACATGGACTCGGGTCTACATTGCAAGGTGGATCCACGTCCAAATGTTCACAAGTTAACTTTTAAAAATTCGCAAAAATGATTGAGAATGGCAAATTATTCTATGGATTCGGGTTTACATTGCATGGTGGATCCGCGTCCAAATGTCCATAATTTACCTTTTAAAAATTCACAATTTGTATACTATGAACACAGAATGTTAACATCTATGCAATTGATTACCTTGTTTTGTATTCACAAGTTCCTTTCAAATATTGTAGATTTGTAGTCACACAATATTACAAATTAGGATTTGATAATCAGGATTGTTGTTATGCTTTTTTATTTTCGATTGAAAGGGTCTTGTTTAACATCAAGACTCCATAGCCCAATAGATAAGGTACTGGTCTACGAAACTAGAGATTTTTGGTTCGATCCTCAGTGGAGTCTCGTATTGCCTAAAAATAATATATGTCATATGGGCACATAATTTCATCACTTATCTTGCATAAGATTGCGAGAAAGCTGCCTGTAATGTCCATCTAAGGTCATGAACACCGTATATGCTTGATCTAGAATTAGGAAACAAAATAAGCCGTATATATTATACGGTCGGACATAATAGATTAAAATACGAACTACAATAGGGTATAGTTTACTTATCTTACAGCCGATAGAACCTTCAAAAACGCCAATCCGAGACTCAAAACGAATATCGGAGAATAAAAATTTAGATCCTCGAACAACAAGTCCACCGATAATCCGCACATCTCAGCTAGGGTTTCAAAACTGAACCCTCATCAGATGTTAGTGGTGATGAAGACCTTGCAATAAGGTTGAGATCTTCTACGACGCCAATCCGAGACTCAAAACGAATATCGGAGAATAAAAATTTAGATCCTCGAACAACAAGTCCACCGATAATCCGCACATCTCAGCTAGGGTTTCAAAACTGAACCCTCATCGGATGTTAGTGGTGATGAAGACCTTGCAGTAAGGTTGAGATCTTCTACGAATTAAAGAAGATCTCAACACTGTAATGGCAGATGAGGAAGTCTACGATCAGAAATGGGGTTTTTTTTTTTTTTTTTTGTCTGAACAGTGTTAGAGATAAGGTTAGGTAGATATGAGAGGATGTTAACTGTACGATTTTTGGAAGATGAGAGTTCAAGAAATGCCAGATCCATCTAGAATACCCCTTTTTGGAAATCACGGTATGTTAACATTATATTGGGTCGGGTTTGGGCTTTAGTTTTTAGGGAAAGTTGGGCTTGGTCTTAAAAAGAGCAGTGTACAATATGGTCTCATGCATTTAAATGCTGGAATTATTGGTCAAATTATGTTGTGGGTAATGGTCCACATAATTGTGTGAACAATTGGTCCATCATGTACATTTTTAATATATTCAAAGTATATTCAAACGTATTTTATTTCTGTACATAAGTTACATTATTTTGAGACTTATGGTATATTATATAAAATAATGTACACTTGGTAGATTAAAAAGGCACTTTCAAAATATATACCTTACGTAGGTAAATTATGTATCATTAGTATAATACAAATGTATTTTATTTGGAATTATGGCCATAATCATATCGTTCATTTTAAAACTAAATGTACTTATCTATGAATATTTGCACCTTTAATTTTCATTGCAGAAAATGTTGAAAATTCTCCGGTTACAAACAATCACAACGCTATTTTGCAAAAAAATAGTTCAAATTTACACACGGAATACACACCACAACAAGTGGGTACTTCAAGTGATACACCAAAAAGTGGTCTGACAACAGGTAAATGCTTTACACTTTTCAAATTTAAAATATGTGCATATACTTCGGTCTAATACACTATTTAAAAAATTTTATGAACATTAAATGTTATTTGCAGTTAATCCAGAAAGTTTAAATATACGTATGAGTACATGCCACATGGAATATACGACAAGCAAAAGTAACTCCAGACATTTTGTAATAGGCGGCAGAACTCCCTATTTATCCAGTACAACAAGCTCTATATTTCCCGATTATTTATATTAATGCATATACATAATATTGTTTATTCCATATCAAAATTCTGATATCATCAATGACAGACCGAAAAAATTCACATTTATTGTAAAAGGTACCGCAACTATGTCAAAGAGCACACGATCACCTCTACACAATATATCAAACGGTAAGTATTTTTTACATCATTTAACTTGCTTAAGTAATTTTTTTAATGCCAACTTCTTTTTCTACTTTAAATAAAGTAGGTACCAGACAATGCAACAAGAGGCCATGCATGAGTGAGGGTAAAGACCGTAGCCAAGATAATGTGGTCAATCGCGATTTGTTTCAAGATTTTGAAGAAGTTTCCAATACTAATCGCATTTTAGAACAAATGGAAGACACTTGTGGTAAGTTCAATATCCATTGACATTTGCGAAGATACTTTACAAAATAATTATTCAATTGTATGTAGTTAGTTGTTTAAATCAAATGTATTACTGTATATCGTAGGATTGGTCGAAATTCCGCAACAACCTATACAACATATTCGAAATGGTAATTCCTTATTATTTTAAATCTTAGGTCAATTCAAAATTATTTCAAATGTACGTAATGTTTAGGGTAGAAACCAATAGGATTCACCTGTTTGATAATACTTAGTTCAATACTGGTATGTATAATATGAAATGTTTAAGGTCATTTTTTATAATTTAACTAAATAATATTTAATTATCAATGTAGTTAAATACAACGATCTTGGTGATGCAAATAACACATGTCAACATTGTGGAGCGCTTTTTTGGTACGAAGAAAGGATAAACAAAACAGTTATTCACGGCACCCCAAGATATTCAATGTGTTGCAACAATGGTAAGATTAAATTGCCATCAACCATGAGGCCACCAAATGCAATATACAATCTATTTTTTGAAGAATGAGAAAAAAAACAAGCAATTCCTGCACAACATTAGAACATACAATAATATGTTTTGCTTCACGTCCATGGGTGGTAAAATAGATAGAAGTGTGAACAAGACCGGTGGTCCACCAATTTACCGGATAAATGGGCAAAACTTCCACTACATTGGTAGTCTCTTGCCGGTCGACGGGAAAAAACCTCATTTTGCACAGTTGTATATATATGATACTAATAATGAACTTAGTAATCGTATCAATTCTATAAGGTAAGTACCTGTAAATTAATTATATGTATAATTTTATGCATATTTGTAAGCACATCCACATGGATATTCGATATACTTATTTGGTCTCTTTCTAGGCAAGATGGTGAGCAAAACGGCATCCATGTCGAGATTGTTAATGATATTCAACAAGATTTGGATACGAATAATGTCTTGGTCAAATCATTCTGCATGGCATGATCTGAACTACAAAAGAATCCACTGGCTGAGGTTAAAATTAAATTGCTTGGGAAGAGATCAAAGGATGCGAGAACATACAATTTGCCGCAAGTTTCTGAAGTTGCTGCATTAATTGTCGGTGATATTGATACAAATATTGGAGAACGTGACGTAATGGTGGAAACGAAGAGCGGCCTCTTGCAAAGAATTAGTGAATTAAATCCAGCTTACTTGCCTATGCAATACCCTTTACTGTTTCCGTATGGTGAGGACGGATACAGGGAAGACATCCCCTTCTCTACATTAAAAGGAAACACAACTGGTGGTCGTCAAAGGATAAGTTCTCGAGAATATTTTGCATACCGTATACAGTCTAGGGTCTCTGAGGTATCTACTTTATTGCATTCAAAAAGGTTATTCCAACAATTTCTGGTGGATGCCTATACAATGGTTGAGTCAGGAAGGTTAATCTATATAAGGACACACCAAAAAATTTTGAGGTGCGAATCGTATAATTGCTTGAATGATGCATTAACACGCGGTGAAGTTGACCCCACTACTCAAGGAAAGAGAATAATATTGCCTTCGAGTTTTACAGGGGGTGCTAGATACATGATTCAAAATTACCAGGACGCTATGGCGATATGTAGATTGGTTGGATATCCAGATCTGTTCATCACATTCACCTGCAACCCCAAGTGGCCTGAGGTACAACGCTTCTTGAATGATAGAAAGCTAAAACCTGAAGATCGTCCTGACATAATATGTAGATTATTCAAAATGAAATTGGACGCTCTAATCTCAGACTGTAGGAAGAACAAGATATTTGGACCAGTAATGCGAGGTACGCAAATAAAATGCCACTATTTAAAACAGTGCGAGAAGTTTGACTGTTGATATTTTTTGCTCTATTTTAATTTTTTTTCTTTTTTATATGTTAATAGTGATATACACCATAGATTTTCAAAAAAGAGGTTTACCGCATGCTCATATTCTCCTATTTCAGGATAAAATCAATGGAGCCCATAGTGTGGACAATTTGGACCACATTATTTCAGGTGAGTTACCTGATCAAGAAGCTGACGCAGAATACTTCAAAGTAGTTGAGGAGTTTATGATGCATGGTCCTTGCGGGAGGGCCAGGTTGATTTCTCCATGTATGGCGAATGGTAAATGTACTAAACATTTTTCCAAAAAGTTTGTTAATTTCTCAACTTTTGATGAGGATGGTTATCCTATATATCGGAGAAGAGACAATGGTCGTTCGGTGATGCGCAATGGGATTAACTTGGATAATAGGTACGTGGTACCACACAATAGGCATTTGTTGTTAAAGTATATGCCATTAATATTGAATGGTGCAATCAGTCCCGTTCAATCAAGTATTTGTTCAAGTACGTGAACAAGGGTCACGACAGGGTGACAGCAGAGTTTTACAGAACCAGCAATGATCAAGATGGACCGCAAGTTATTGATGAAATCAGTATGTACTATGATTATAGGTACATATCTCCGTGTGAAGCATCGTGGCGGTTTTTCGGTTTTGATATACAGTTTAGGACACCATTAGTGGAACGATTAAGCTTTCACTTGCCGAATCAACAAAGTGTTGTTTTCGCAGATGATGATCCAGTTGATAACATACTCAGCCGATCAACAATCTTACAAAGCATGTTCCTAGAATGGTTTGAGGCAAATAAAACCTACCCGGAAGCAAGGAATTTGACATATGCTGAAATGCCAACGAAATTTGTATGGAAGAAAGATATTAGAAAATGGCAGCCAAGGAAAAGAGGATTTTCAATCAGTAGAGTATTCTATGTGCCTCCTGGGTCAGGGGAGATCTTTTATTTGAGGTGTCTTTTGAATAAAGTCAAAGGTCCCACAAGTTATTTAGACATAAAAACAGTGGATGGTGTCCAATATGAATCTTTTAGGGATGCGTGTTGTGCTAGAGGATTAGTAGATGACGACAGGGAATATGTTCATGCTATAGAAGAAGCAAGTCACTGGGCCACAGCTGTGAATTTGAGATGATTGTTTGTCACTCTCTTGATGACAAACTCAATAGCAAAACCAGAGGTTGTGTGGGAAGCTGCGTGGATTCATTTGTCCGACGATGCACAATTCAAGATTAGAGAGCAATTGGGAATTCCATGTATTCTATTTTTTCCTTTTTATTGTTACAATAGAATTTTACAAACAAAGTTATCATAGTTGTTAATAATATTGTCACAGATTGGATTATATCTGAAGATGAGAAGAAGAATTTTGCACTTACGGAGATAGAAATAATGCTTCCAGCTATGGGAAAAAGTTTGAAAGACTTTCAGTCAATGCCGATACCCGATTTAGTTAATCATTCTAGAACAACCAATCGGTTGATACAAGAGGAATTGGCATATGATATTAATGTAATGAAGGAAGAGAATGATACTTTGGTGGAGAAACTAACTGAAGAGCAAAGAACAATATATGACAACGTATTGCAAGATGCTGAGAATAATCTTGGAGGACTTTTTTTTTTTTTATTTATTTATTATTATTTATGGATACAGTGGAATGGGAAAAACATTCTTGTGGAGAGCATTGTCTTCTGCTCTAAGGTCAAAGGGTGAGATAGTTTTGAACGTTGCATCAAGTGGCATAGCTTCTCTTCTATTACCCGGGGGAAGAACTGCCCATTCAAGGTTTGCAATACTGATCGCTGTTAATGAAGATTCAACCTGCAATATCAGCCAAAGCAATCCTTTGGCACAGTTGATCATGCAAAGTAGGTTGATCATTTGGGACGAGGCACCAATGATGCATAAATTCTGCTTTGAAGCTTTGGATCGATCTATGAGAGATATAATGCGTGCCAAAAATCCAAACAGTTTCGATATGACTTTTGGTGGAAAAACAGTGGTGTTAGGTGGAGATTTCAGACAGATTCTACCAGTCATTCCAAAGGGCACGAGGCAAGATATTGTGCGAGCAAGTATAAATTCATCCTATCTTTGGAGAAGCTATAAAGTTTTTAGGTTAACAAAGAATCTACGACTTAGGGCTTTGAAATCAGATAGTGAAGTTCAAGAGATTGCAGATTTTGCAAAGTGGATTGCTAATATAGGTGATGGAACAATTGGTGATTCAATGGATGGAGAATCTGAGATAAATATTCCTGAACAATTTTTGTTCACGTGTGGGGAGGATCCTATTTCTACAATTGTTTATAGCACATTCCCTATGTTTCACAGTGGCCACAGAGATCATGAATATCTAAAAGATCGTGCGATCTTGGCGCCAACTTTGGATGTTGTAGATACAGTCAACGAATACATGACTGACTATAACAATGCTGAAGGAAGGACGTATCTCAGTTGTGATTCGGTATGCAAATCTGATTCTAATGTTGACATGCTTGCTGATCTGCACACATCGGAATTTTTAAATGGCTTACGATGTTCTGGAGTTCCAAATCACTCATTGACTCTAAAAGTTGGCTCCCCAGTTATGCTCTTAAGAAATATTGATCACTCATTGGGGTTGTGTAATGGTACAAGGATGATTATTTCAAAGTTGGCTGATCATGTTTTAGAAGCTCAAATACTGACCGGATCAAGTGCTGGTACAAAGGTCTTAATTCCAAGGATGTCCTTAACACCTTCGGATCCAAGATTGGCTTTTAAGTTCCAAAGAAAGCAATTTCCGCTAATGTTGTCATATGCCATGACAATAAATAAAAGCCAGGGCCAAACACTGTCCAATGTGGGTTTGTTTTTGAAGAGGCCAATTTTTAATCATGGTCAAATGTATGTAGCATTGTCAAGAGTTAGTAATCCTAAGGGATTAAAAATACTTATTTATGACGAAAATGTACAATCTAAAAATACGACTACAAATGTCGTATATAAAGAAGTATTCAATAATGTCTAATACATTGAAATATTTTGCGGCAGTGTTTTATTATACAATAATATATATTCTATTGATTACATATATTGCCGTGCATCGCACGGGTAGAACTACTAGTTTATAAACAAGTAAAACATAAGACCCCAAAAACATAATAATTATTATGATTTTTATTTGCAATATATAGATCCGGGAATGAATTGGATAAAAAACATCATAACTTTCTCTCAAAGAGATCAGCAATAAATGTGTCTGTGTAATGGATGTGGATGATGTAGGGTTGGTGGCTATGATACTCAGCTCTATCGAAGTGTTTTTACGGCAATTAATGTTTTCATTCTCGTACCATTTGCCTGATTTCCTACCTACTTTGTGTTGTGAACATAGATAGGTCCAAATATATGCATGATGGAAAATTAATATTTCAGTTTACCTGCTTGTGGTCATTTGTCGTTTAGGGTCATAAGTCGAGTTTTACTTCGAGTGTATTTTCAAATAATGATTGTGGAGTCAAGCACTTGTGCTCAGATGGCATGTAGTGACCTCTCCCATGTGGAAGGTCATGAAATCAAGCCTAAGTGGAGGCGTTGTTGACTCTCCTACAATGTAATAGAGTCGAGTTAGTAGCATTCAAGAAAATAATAATAATAATGGTTGTGGATTTTCTTGTAAATCAAATGAAAAATTAATAGGGAAAATTTATTATTATTTCACAACATGGTTTTTCTGGTAAATTATACAATGGACCAGGGTTTACCTTGCATTGTAGATCTTGGTCCAAAAATAACCTTCAAATTCTGTATCTATAGTAACACCAGGGGCGGAGGTATAGTGGGGGCAGCTGTCCCCCAACCCACCCCATATATAACCCGTGTGTGTGTGTCAATTTTAGTACAAGTATAAGAAAACAGATAAATGTTAAATAAAAAATGAGTTATATTAGTTGGTAGAGCATGCATGTCACCCTAAGAAACGTCAAGGGTTCAAATCCTTTCTTATTGCTTTAACATAGGTTTTCATGGCTTTCCACAATACTTTATTATTAGTGGTTTCAAAGCAGTTTTTTATGGCTTTAATTGTGAGATTCACTTATATTAATAATAATGAGATGTGTAATTTATAATATGTTTTCTATTTGAGTTATTTTATCAAATTAATTATATTTCACATTTTGTTATAAATATTTTTATAAAGTCTTAATGTGTTATATTTTTCGCCCATATCCAACAATATTTATGGTTAACTTTTAAGTTTTTTAATTTTTATTTCAAACTATCTCTTTTATTTTAATGTTTCGCCTTCATGAAAAAACAATTATAGATCCGCCCTTGGTTGACACATTTTGTACCTATAGTTGATAGTTTCTGTACTTGTAGCTATCATATTATATGTCAACAATTATCATGTCTGATTTTGTATCTAAGTTGGCACATTCTTTACCTACAGTTGATATTTTCTGTACCTGTAGCTATCATATTATGTGTCAGCAATTATCAAGTTATTTGTTTACATTTACAGAAACTGTTAATTGTAGATACAAAATGTATTAATTAAAAGTACATAATTTTTGTATTAGGATTCATAATGCAATATGAACCATGGTCCATGGTATAACAATTTGATTTTTCTTGTAAATCAAAAGAAAAATTAATGGGCCAAATTTATTATTATTTCACAACATGGTATTTCTGTGCATTAATTTTAATTTATTTTATAATTTGTACTAGGTTTGTGACTGATTTCACACCAATAGTATGCAAGCTAAGGATATTCTTATCCCCGCAAATATCTCTCATTTTTAAAATTGGACCCCACTTCCCTATAATCGAATTTGCAAATCATTTATTGTTCACACTATATCCCTGCAAATCCAATCAAGTGGACTTCAATTTCACTTCACTTTAAAAAATTAATATCTTTTTCTCAATAAACATTATTTTCTCTTCAACATTATTAATTTATATCAATATATAAATTACATTTAACTATTAAAAATAACAAAAAATAAAAATCCAAAAACATAATTTTTTATTTAAATTACTTTTAAATATTAAAAATAGCAGTATTGAAAATCTAAAAGCGTAATTTTTAAAAAATAATTTAAGAAATTATTCGTAGTATGTATATAACCGAATGCAAATTATACTATGATTTGAATTAATTGTAAAACTGATGAGGATATGAATGTTTAACGTAACATTAACCAAGGACTGAGGATAGTCATATAAGGATACAAAGAGAGAGTCCTAGTCTATCACAACTAATACAGTCCTAACACTCCCCCTCAAGCACAAGTTAGGCTAGCCAAAACATTGAGCTTGCCACGTAAAAAACTAAAACGCAAAGACGAAATAGGTTTAGTAAATATATCAGCTAACTGATCTTTAGTAGAAATAAAATGAACTTGCACCTCTTTCTTGGACACCTTGTAACGAACGAAGTGGTAGTCAATCTCAACATGCTTCGTTCGGGCGTGGAAAACCAAATTGGCACATAGATAAGTGGCACCCAAGTTGTCACGCCATATCTTGGGCGCTGTAGCAGGAGGTAAGCCAATCTCTTTCAGCAATGAAACAAGCCAAGTAACTTCTGCAGACACATCAACTAATGTCTTATATATACTCAGCCTCAGTGGATGAACGAGCCATAATTCGTTGCTTCCGACACACCCAGGAAATCAAATTATGACCCAAAAAGACGGCAAAACTACTCGTAGATTTTTGGTCATCCAGATTACCAGCCTAATCCGAATCAGAAAAAGCGTGAATGTTAACCAACACAGACTTACAGATACGAAGACCAAAGTGCAAAGTGCCGTGAACATACCGTAAAACACGCTTCAGTGTAGCCCAATCTGCCGTGGTAGGGGCCTGCATATGCTGACAGAGCCGATTAACTGCATAAGATAAGTCCGGACGAGTGACAGTAAGGTACTGAAGAGCACCTGCCAAACTCCGATAGGGGACTGAAGGATCATCCACAGGTTTAGCAAGTGAGACCGGAGTAGAAACAGGCTTACAATCAACCAAACTAGCCCGCTTTAGAATGTCCCTCATGTACCGCTGCTAGGACAGAAGCATCCCATCGGGTAGAGGAACTGTCTCAATCCCGGCCAAGGAAGAACGACGGCACCCCCATATCACGCACCTTGAACTCCAAGGCCAGCTGAACATATCTCGAGAATAAATGAACAAAGACCCCATGACCAGAATGTCGTCAACATAAACCAAAAAATAAAGCTGAACATTATCTCGAGAATAAATGAATAAAGACACATCGGTCTTAGAGGGAGAAAAAACAACCGAAACCAGAAAATTGTGCAGCCGCGTGAACCAGGCACTGGGAGCCTGCTTAAGACCATAAAGCGACCTTTGAAGCAAACACACATGACCAGGCAAAGCCCTGTCCTCATAGCCAGAAGGCTAGGGCATATAAACTGTCTCAGCTAGGTGACCATTCAAGAAAGCATTATGAATGTCCAAGTGGCGAATCGTCCACCCGCGAGATATAGCCAAAGACAATAAAAGACATACCATCGTTGGCTTAACCACCGGGCTAAAGGTTTCAAAGAAGTCATGCCCCGCTACTTGGTTAAAGCCCTTCGCCACCAGACGAGCCTTATGCCACTCAATCGACCCGTCCGCAATTCTCTTGGTCCGGAACACCCACTTGCAGCCCACAACATTCATTCCTGGAGTATGAGGGACCAACCGCCAAGTATTGTTCTACAGCAAGGCATTAAACTCCAAGTCCATAGCCTCACGCCACTCAGAATGACTCACAGCCTGAGAGTAACAAGTCGGCTCAAAATCACCAGTAGCAGCAATTAAAGCTACATGCTCTGTCGGACCCTGACTGCATGTAGCCGAATCATGGGAATGGGGCTACTGCGGTTTGGCGAGACGCTTGGCACGACCACCACGAGTCACTGGAAGCCATAGCCAGTGCAAGAGGAGCAGGCACCGTGTGCGCTCCTAGAGCCGTAGCCTAAACAAGAGGAACCGGCTGCTCACAGCTATCCCTTGGAGCAGGTTGTGCAAGTGGACTGCCCAGCACGTCTCTCACCACTGGAACAGTAGCAACAACCCACGGAACATCACTCGGCGAAGAAACCTGCGAAGCAACAGAGGAAGCCAAAGGAAAAACGATCTTATCGAACTGCACATGGAGGCAAATAAAAACCTTGTTACTGTTAGTGTCCAAGAAACGATAGCCACGAAAAGAATCTGGGTAGCCTAGAAAGACACATAGTGTGGACCGAAACTGTAACTTGTTATGATTGTAGGGCCGCAACAGGGGAAAACACAAACATCCAAAAACCCGCATAAAAGAATAGAAGGGGGAGAACGATGCAGACGAAAATGAAAGGACTCATTATTTAAGACATGAGTAGGCATTTTATTTATTAAATAAATGGCGATTTCGAAAGCATAGTCCCAAAAACAAGAGGGACCTGATGCTTGAGCCATCAAAGCCAACCCCGTTTCAACAACATGCCGATGCCTACGTTTTACCCGACCATTTTGTTCGTGGGTATACGCACATGACTGCTTGTGATGAATACCAAGAGATGCTAAGGTGGAACCAAGCTTTTTGTACTCTCCCCCTAGATCAAACTGAAAGGAATTAATTTTGCGAGAAAATGACTGTTCAGCAAGTGACTGAAACTTATGAAAAATACAATACAGATCAGTTTTAGCATGCATGGGATAGAACCAAACATAGCGCGTATAATCATCTACAAACATAACAAAGTATTTATAGCCATTCACAGAAATTAACGGCGCAGGGCCCCAAATATCCGAATATATTAATTCCAAAACATGCGTACTAGACTTTTCAACACGAGATAAAAGAAACTGTGACGATTTCCCTAATTGACAAGCTTAACAAATATTTGGTAGCTCACAAGAATGAAAAGAACTAACATACGAAGACCCTAAAACTTGACGCAAGACACGCGAATGAGGATGACCAAGCCGCATGTGCCAAACATATGACGACGCACGTGCAGCCACGAACGTAGCAGAGAAAGGACGCGAGGCAGGCCACGTGTACAAACCCCCAAAGCAGACCCTCTAAAAAGGACCTTCTTGGTCATAACGTCCTTCACAAAAAAACACAAGAGGGATGGAATTCAAAGAAAACATTATTATCCCGAGCAAATCGTTGAACAGATAACAATGAAGAGGAAAGACCAGGAAGATGCAACACATCACATAACCTAAAAGAGCTAGAATTAGTATCTATCGAAGCGGAAGCAACATTAACAATAGGCAAACCTGAACCACTGCCGACTCGAAGAGTACCTGGACCATCATAACCAGCACAAGAGGACATCACGGAGGCATCAGGAATAACAAGATTTGTGGCCCCCGTGTCAGGAAACCACTGATGCGAACTAACTGAGTATGAACCAGCAGCCTCCGAAAACACCACGTTTGCCTGAGGACCCGACGAATCAGAGTAACGACGATAGCACGAGAGGGCGGTATGACCTTGATTGTTCTAAATCTAACAACGAGGTCCAGACCGAGAGCCATTACCGCGACCACAACTGCGCCCCCGGTTCCCCCTGCCACGGCTAGTACCACTGCGAGTCTACCTGCTACCTCCTCGGCCGCCACGACCACTGCGACCCGCTGGCAGAGCCGCCGGCAGACCCGGGCCACTGCCATCGTTGGCGCAAATCCACTCCCGTGAGACCAAAAAATCGGCCAACTCCGTCAAAGTGAGCGGGGCACCACACGTCAAGGAAGCCACCAACGAGCGAAATTCAGGTCGTAAGCGACGAAATACGTAAAGATTCTGATCGTCTAACGTGACTTCCCGACCTGCAAGAGCCAAGTCTTCTACGAGCATCTAGGCACGACCAAGATAGTCCGTGATTGAGGAACCTCCCTAGCGCAGCCCCTGTAACTCACCAAGCAACCGCAAAGCTCGGGCTCTAGTTGATGAGCTAAGAAACTGTTAATTCGCAAGCCAAAGCAACTGCGAGGACGACCGGCCGACGGCAAGATGCATGGTCTCGTCGGAGAGAGACGGGATGAGAAGCGACAAAATAGCCTTGTCTTGGCGCCGCCACTGTTGGCGCGGATTCAGAACGGCAGCGCCACCACTGTCTACCGTCGAAGCTGCCACCGGAGATTCTCCTAGGCAGGGAATGTCCCATCGACGTACCTGAGTAGACCCTGACCTTCTAGAAACGGAACCATCTGTGTCCTCCAAAAAAGATAATTCCTTGCGGTTAATTTTAGAGAAACAAAGTGATGGGCAGACGAGAGACCAGCAGTAGCCGACACGGGGGTAGGAGTAGCCTCGGTGACAGTCCGTTCAGAGGAGTCACAAACAGAGCCGTCATCATTCACACCGAGAGTTGCTATGGAAGATAACCTGACTAACTAATACCCGATGAGGATAGGAATGTTTAACGTAACATTAACCAAAGACCGAGGATAGTCATATAAGGATACAGAGAGAGAGTCCTAGTCTATCACAACTAATACAGTCCTAACACAACTAAGCCTCAAATGAACCTCACAAATTCGAAGTAATTGGAATCATTAAAATTAACCGAAGTACAAATTTAAAGACTTTGAAATAACTAAAATTAAACAAATTACAAATACGAAGACACTGTAATCATTAAAAGGTAAAAAATTACAACTAACCGATAAACAAATGAAGTAGTTATTAGATGAGTAAGTATGATAAAATTAATTTGTATGCATTGTATTTATAAATCAATGAAAATTTATGTACTATTTTAATATATTATTTCATTAAAAATTTTTATTACATATAAATAAAGAATCAAATTAAAAATTAGAAAAACATAAAACACATCAAATAAACAAAATAAACTGTACACAAAAAATAAACAAAAGAAACTAACAAATAAAATAAAAAAGAAAAGAAAACAAAATAAATAAATAAATAAATAAACTGAGGCAGCTTTGGTACAGATTGCAAATTTGCAAACAATGCAAATCTGCCAACAATGCAAACCTGCCCAATCCTAATAAGCACAAAAAAAAATAATATTTAACAAATTGCCATATCATCTTGCCAATCCCAAATTGGCAAGGATAATCTTAGCCTGATGTGCATAGGTAGGGGTATTCATTTGGTTATTAACCGAATCAAATTTACAAAATATTTTAACGTTAATTGAATTGGAATTCTTATTTTGCTATTTTTGAATTAATTAATAGAATCAATTTTTTTAGTTAATCAGGTGGCTAAACAAATAATCGAAATATTTTAGTTCAATTTTTTAAAAGTTATAAATAAAAATTTATAGAGAAAAGGGTCAAATACACCCCTAAACATTTCGCTAAAGGTCAATTAACCCCACAAACTTTTGAAAAGGTCAATTGAACACATGAACACACAATTTTTAGTCACTTGACCCCATTAACAGGTAACTTTTACCTGATGAACCGGTAATTGACACCGTGGCGTGACACATAAGCGTTGGAGTGGGTACTTGGCTGCCACATAAGCATAAAAAAGAATTAAATTAAAAAAAAATTAAATTAATAAAAAAAGAATTTAAAATCACCTTAGCCCTAAATTCTAATTCTCTCGGCGTCTTCTTCATTCAGCCCTAAAAAGAATTAAACAGATTAGCTCTAAATTATTGTACAAGAGAAAACATAGTTGGATAAAGATTGATAATTTAAACAGATTATATCACGTCCAGCCCTAATTCACCGCAAAATCTCTGTTGGTCGCTCGCTTCTCGTCGTCTCCAGTCATCGCTCACCACCACCCATCACTCCTCGTCGGCCTTATCGCACCACCATCACCATCGCAGTAGTTCGTTGCAATAGCCTCCACCACCGTCCGGCGGTCCACCACCTCGTCGCACCACCATCACCATTGAAGGTATTTTTCCTTTTTCTTCTACCACTAGTTTTAGGGTTTAGGTTTTTTCTTTTTCTTTAAGCAGTATGAATTTCTTTTTTTCATACCACTGATATGCTACTGCAAATTTGTTTATGGGAATGGAAAAGTGGAAAACTAAAGCTTTTTATATGTTTAGGGTGAATGA